AGTCTTCAACACGAATGGAAGGAGGATTTGTCCGACTTGATTTGGATTTGGATTTAAGGCAAAAAGTTTTTAAGAAAATTGATAGATTTTCTCTAGAATTTAGGGATTTCAATGTGTCTTTCGCCTTGAGGGAAGACCTATATTTATAGCCAAAATGTAGGCAATCTAAAATCATTACAGATTTAATGCTATGCAGGAGATTCTCTAGAATCTTCTTGTATTTGGGTGACTTGTGACTCAAAAAACCCATTTAACTGGGCTTTTATGATAGGCTGGCCCAAATAGTCAATTGTGAATTAATCCATTTCAGTTTAAATGGACATTATAAATTTGATTTGATTTAACAACTGATATGATACTGGCCTTATTTGTCAGTCCAAAACATAAGGGACCTCTATGGTTTAATTTAACTTAATTTAATTCAATCAAGATTAACTCAATTCATTTAATCTTGACTAAATATATTAAACAAATTCTTGTCTACAATGACAGATAGGCATAATGGGATGAAAAAATACGATGATAACTCAAACAATTATCATTTAGAAATTAATTTCGAGTGGAACGAACATCTTTTTTGACAGCAATAAGTGGATAATAGTAGGTGGGACCGTGGTAGGTGGAGTCAGAACAGTGGTTCAGTAGATTCTTCAACACCATCATTCAGAATTTTATTTAAGGACGATCACATCGTTGATAAGTGGCGGTGATCTGGATGGATTGATAGGTTCATTGGCTACTGACTAGCATCGATATCATGGGTAAGAGGAACGAAATAAGTAGAGACAGGAATATCCTCGGTGATTGTAGAATGATTGGACTTATTATGAGAAAAGAAATGAGCAGTCTCAAAGAACATAACGTTTGCAGAGATGGTGTATAGTTTGAGATTAGGAAAAGAACATTTGTACCATTTCTGTGTTCGAGAGTACCCAAAAATACACATTTGAGAGTAGGAGAAGATAGCTTGTCTTTCCCTGGAGTTAAGTCATGAACAAAACATGTACAACCAAATGTACAAGGGCAAATAGAAAATAGAGGTTGACTTGTATATATAAGAAAGCATAGAACTTGATTATTAAGAACAGATGATGGACATGCGATTAATCAAATAGCATGCAGTGAGAATAGCATCCCCCCAAAGACATAGTGGAACGTTCACATGACTGAGTGAAATACATGTTTTTGCCAAATATCTAGTTTTCCCCGATTTTGTTTTGAGGTATCGAGAACATGATGATGGTAAATAATTCCGTTGGTACTAATAAATCGTTAAAAAGGAGTAAAAAAATACTCAAGAATAGATGATTATTAAGAACAGATGATGACATGCAATTAATCAAATAGCATGCAGTGAGAATAACATCCCCTAAAGACATAGTGGAACGTTCGCATGAATAAGTGAAGTACATGTTTCTGCCAAATATCTAGTTTTCCTTTTAGCAAATCCATTTTCTTGTGAGGTATTGAAATATGATGATTGGTGAATAATTCCATCGGAACTAATAAATGGTTAAAAAGGAGTGAAAAATATTCACGGGCATTATCACTTCACAAGGTACTTAGGGGAACACCAAATTGTGTTTGAATTTCAGAAACAAAGTTGTGAAAAACAAAAAACACTTTAGATTTACTTTTCATAAGAAACAACCAAGTACGTGAATAATCATCAATAAAAGTAACAAATATTGTATCCTAAAGTGGAAGTAACACAACTTTTGTCCCCAAACATCAGAATGGACTAAAGAAAATTGAAATTGAGCTCTATTTTTAAACCTTCTTGGGAATGACGCATGGTGTGTTTTCCAAGTTTGACATGATTCGTACTCTAAAGAAGACATAGTAAAGGAACTTGACTGTCCCAACGACTATGAATTAGTAAAAGATCATCTACTGCAGAACAAATTATTGGTGTTGGCAAAGAGAGATGGTAGAGACCTTGTGACACACTATGCTAATCATTCGTCTCGTACCGCGATCCTGTACAATAATAGATTTCTCATCAAATGTAACTAAACATTTAAGGCAATGACACAAGTGACGGATAAATACTAATTAAAGGACAGCTAGGTAAGACAAGCTCAAATGGCATGGAAGGAAGAGTAATGTTAGGTAGAGAAGTAGAAACTAAGTGAAGAGAAAAGATGTGGATTACCAAAAATATGATTTGTGGGCAGCAGAATCTAAAACCTATGGACCAAGAAGGAGTTGAGAAACATAGGTGCTAGCATTACCCATTTGTACTGCAGAGGCAGTAAGCGTGGAAGACTGTTTGGCTGCAAACCACTTCAAAATCCTCATACTCAGGCTCTTGTTTGAAAACCCTAAATGTCTCAAACTTTCACAATTCTCAGATTGGAAAACATTCGCTACTTGTGGTGGATGACGTCCATGCAAGTGCCAACAAAGATTTGTGTGTCCCAACCTTTTCACAATGGTCACAATGAGGATGGTTTCTATTACATTTAACCACCTCGGCCGCAGCCATGACTGCGGCCTCCTCTTTGGGTAGATTGAGATGCCAAACAGATGAGTCAACATTGATAGTTTATGTAGATGATAGTGGTTCATTAGGAATTCGTAGAAGTCTAAAAAATGCTTGAGATAGGGCTAGCAAGGATCTGATCACAGATGGCCAAATATTTGGCCAACAAATCAAAAAGAGCCAAAAGCATAAAAAAGGTACCTCTTTGAGAGAGTTGTTCTTGTTGAGGTGTAGCAAGAGGCAGCAACTCATTGAAATATGAAAGGATAACTTGAATTCTGTCTAAGTAAGAGCTCATGGACATATCAAGTCTTCATGGGGCAGTAAGGCTCACCAGATCAGAACAAATAGTATAAACGCTGGAGATATCATTGGTGTATAATGCTTTGGTTTACTCCCGAACACTAAAGTCTTATGTGGATGAAAAATTTGCTTTAGTGAAGAATAAATAGTTTGCCAAAGCATGCTACACAATTGGGCATCAATTTTCTCCCACTTGGATCGATTAACCATAGTATCATTAGATTTTGTAGTGAGATGATCTCTGTATCCTTGTCCCAAAACCATAACTTGACATTGGAGACCCAAGGAGAGTAGTTACTGTCTTTCAATCTTTCAGTTGTGATAATTGTAGGACCAATAATAGATGGATTAACAATAAGAGGAGTTGTTGTAGTGGATTTGGATGTAGATGTTACAGATGTGTCGGATATAGACATGATGATAGATCAGAAAAAACAAACATCAGGTAAAATCACTGGGGGAGAGGATCGAAAAATAAAAATTATAAAAGTTTCTCTCTCATAGCTTTGATGCCATGAAAGACAAGTAGGGGAGATATATTTTGGGAGTAACCTTTTTCGTATAGAATAAGAAATACAACGGTATATACAAGATGAAAGCAATCAAGATCCTAAAATCAAGCTATTATAATTAGGCTATCTAATCACTATAATTAAGCTAATTACTACAACTAAACTATTAGCTCTAATTAAGCTAATATGTCTGACATGTTAGCTAATGCATCTAGACATATTCAACGTTGACAATAATTATGATGGTAATATTTCTGTCCAAAGTGTAAGGGGAGACTTTGTGTAATGTCACTTATTACATTTCTACAGGCTTTTACACAATCTAGCTCTCCTCGTACACATGAATAAATTAAAAATATCCAGTGCTTCTGTTTTACTGAATTAACTACACACCTATCCTCTGTACAAAGATGGTTTAGAAGGGAATGTAGAAAATTAGATTTCATTCAAGTAGAAGCTATTATTAACTGCTGAAGCGAGGATTGTAGCTCAAATCTATTGTTAAATGATAGCATAGGAGAAAGTTGAATCCTAATTGAATCCTAATGCTCAAAAACATGTTATGATGCTGGAAATGCCCATAGAAACTCCATTTTTGAGCTCTGTTGTATGTTCAATTCTCTTCCAGAATGCTTTACTGAGGAATCGGTTAATGATTTCTGAAAGGTAACTTTCTATACTTTTTTTTTTTTTTTTTTTATTTCACTTTAAGTAGTCCCTCTGGTGGTGGGAAGATGAAGTGGGGTCTCATGACTTGATAAAAATTGTTATTCTTTGACTTGAATTATTTTACCCTCCACTGCAAAATCATGGCAAAAAGGGGATCTTAGATATAGAGGCAGGATATGGATAGCAAGCTTTGACTTACTGGCATTGTTCTTCTAATAGTAGATTTATTGAAGTTTGAAAAAGTAAATATACGATGCTATAGGGAACAGAAAATATACTCACTGAGAGGACTGGTCTAGAGCAAGAAGTATGTATGTCCTGATTCATGTGAGGGTCGATTAAGCACCGCTCATTTTTGGCACAAGCAGGCATAAAGCTTCAAGTCACAGGAAAGGGGACCAGAATTTGTATTTACAAGAAAGTTTTCAATGAATTGCAATTGTTGCTCTTTTGATAAATTTTGGCATTGGCAAAATTGGGGCCACTACTTTTTCCTTTAGCTAATTTTTGCAATCAAATATGTTGGTTCCGCAGTTCTGAGATTAGTCAATGGTAGAATATTCTATAATAGTACGGATTTTATCATTGTCCTCCATTTCTTAGAATTTTTTGCTAGTTATGGTGTTTTGTAAGTGATGTTTTTTGATCTCTGCTTGATGAAAGTTTTGCTTTGCTGCCTTTGTAACTCTCACAAAATGCTGGCAGCCTTATCTTTTTTATTAACTTTTAAATTCTTTTTCCACAAAAGAAATTTCTAATAATTTAAGTTACACAACCTCAGCGCAAGTGTTGATATATACCTTTTTTTCCCTGAAATGTTAGAAGGTAAAGTTTGATATATGCTACTGGTATCTACGCTGCATGTTGTTGAGGTCTTGTGGAATCTTCCCTTTTTATGTTTTAATTTGTGTACTTCCTTGAAAAACTTGGTGTTGGCAGTGCTTATAAGACAATATCACTGAATATAATATTTAAATGGACAATGATCTATCTCAGTTTCCAAGCTAATATGCTTCTTTTTATGCAAAATCAGGTTCATGGCATGGCTTCCACCTTGGCTTGCAGTTCATTTAACACGTTACCAGGTATTCTGGAGCATGAGACTTGGGTTCTTCACTATACTATGTTTTGTGACTATTGATTTTTAACAGACGCTTCTGGAGAAGCACTGGGAAGAACATGGTAAACCTGCTGCTGATGCATTGTTACAGAAGGTATATTTGTTTATTTTACTCCAAATCTTTTATTTCCCTTTCTGGTGTTGGTAAGATTGCTTGAATAACAACCAATGTTTGCTATTTGTTCATTTATTTAGGCTATAAAGGAAAGGCAAGGCCGAAATTTGGGCTGGGCCGCATATTGAAACCATTCACACAGTAAGAATCAAGTTTCCTTGAAGTGCTAAAGAACCCTTGTATTTGTAATGCTTTTGCCTTTGTTTCTGAGAAATTTGACACGTGTGCATTGTTCTGCTCATTCAGGTGGTTAACATTTGATGTTGATGTGCATAACTGGTTCCTTTTTACTGGGGGTTGTAAATTGGTTCCTTTGCATTGAATTTTTCTCACTGTAATATAGGTCCTTAGTAGTTCATGTAGCTTGTGTTTCTGGTTGTGTGGTTGGTTCAAATGCCAATTATATGTTTGGCATTATGATTATCAGCATTTCGTTAATTTGTGTTGTGTTGGCCTCATCTTCTTAGAGTTTGTTATTGTTGGTTACTCGGATGAAACTTGGGTAATTACAAGTTTAAGCTGAGCCTAAGTAGGCTGCCTTTACCCAGGTAATGCAAATTGATTAATATTATTTGGACAAGATCAAGTGATGTTTAATTGAGTGTAGCTTAGATCAATTTTGCTGGGCTAGTGTATTAAATTTGTAACTGCTGCTGGGAGAAGGATAAGCTTTGTAGTAATCATGAATAGAAGACTAAATTGTCTTTGGCCTAGTAATAAAATTCTTGATATACCTTTTCTTTTCTTTTGTCATGAAATTTGCAGAAATGGATCCCGGTCATAAAAGAGCAGTGGCTGATCCTAGTCACTAAAGCTGAACCACATGTGCAGTCACTAAGTACCAAAGCGCTGGAGATTTATGAATCATCTAAAATTGCAGCAATGCCACATGTTATAAAAGTTCAAGAACTCGCAGATCCTTATTTTCAGGTAAAACATCTCAACTTGGCAGGCTTAATTTACCCCATTCCTTTTGGGGAAAAAAGACCTGCCCAATTCCTGATAGTCCCAGCTGAACCAGATTTCAAAACTATAGGAAAGCACATATAAACACCAGAAAGCTGATTGCACTGCCTTGAAAAACAAAAATCAAGAATAAATAAACAAAAGATAAAGAAAGTTGCCATGCTTTAGTATTCTGGAATATTTTGCAGGAAATTAAGAAGTACAGCAAACCATATATTGACCAAGTTGCCACTGCTGCAAGACCATGTTGATAATGTACGAGTTGTCCTGAAGCCTTATACTGAGCAAGCTTTTCATGTTTATGGAAAGTTTCTTGAGTCTGCCAGTACTTATCATCATCAGGTGATTATTTCTTGATTTCTGAATTTTTCTGTTTGCAATTCTGGTAGTTAGTTATTGAATTTTCAGAGTCTACTTGCATTGATGTCATTTTATATTTCGAGCATTCATTGATGTGAACTTCCATATTCTGATTGTGTTGATGTCATTTCTATTTTATGTTGCCAAGTTTAGGTTATCCTGCGACCCTATGGTTAGTTACTTGTAAGTATTTTATCAAAAAGTTCCCTTTTCTGTTTAAGCATCTTTTATCTTAATTATGTGAGCCTAGATCGTATTGATTAGTTACTTAATTGGACATGTAGGGTAGATATTGCATTCAAATATTATCCGAAATTTTGCCTTTTCAGTGTAACTTTCGTTAGTGTTTGTGAGAGTGTGTGTTTGAGGTGTGCATGTAAGTGTGAGAGAGATAGATGGTGTCATGAATATCAACCAGGGTGCAGTAACTGTTTAGCAGCATAGCAGATTTGTAAGACCGTGTGAACTGCAAATCCTTTAAGATTCCATATTAGATCGTGGTGTAGATCGAGCTATAAGAATATCTCTCAAGTTTTGTCATTTTTTACAAGGGCCTTTTGATGGTTTGCTGAAATTACAATGACCTTCCTCATCACACTTAATATTGTATAAGCATTTTATTGGTTCTGACACTTTCTTTTCTTAGTCTTTAAAGCTTAATTTCACAATTGTCAAGATGATAGGTTGGCAACTTTAAAAGTACTGAAGGTTTATGGAATTTGATGGTGATTTGATTTCAGAATAACTGATCAGAAATCATTGAATTTGTAACTCAATTCAAATCTCTGGAGTTCTATTTTAGTCGTGTATTTGAAAGTTACATCTTTACCATATTTTTCTGTTTTTCAGCAGCCCATATCTTCCAAAGATGCACTTATTTTTCCTTGCATCATTAGCTAGTTATGCCCTAACTTTTGAATTCCACCTCCAAAGGACAATTAAAGAAACTGGCATTGCAGTTCAAAGGCATGACCAACTTTGTTGAAGCAACTGCATCTAGTACAGGAGGTTTTACAGAGACCTCATGGAAGTTTCTTTGGGGAGGCCACCTTGAACTAACCTGATTTTCTTTGAATTTAGTGACTTCTGTCTGCAACATAAAATGAAAAGAAGGCCTTTTTCTGTATTTCTGCATATGCACATGTGCTAATGAAAATGATTTGCAATTGACAGTCTACGGCCATGTGGTTTGTAGGTTCAGGGCACTGTCCAAGAAAAGCTGCAGATGCATGATCTTACAAGACCTCTTGCCACAAAAGAGCTAGTGTGGTTTATTGTATGTTTTATTTACTTTTCTCTTTCTTTTTCTTTTAAGCAACCTTGTCTTGCAGTTGCTATTTCTTCGTAGTTTCTAAATTTTGTTTCATTCAACTAGTATCAAATTGGATTTTAACTTGCTCAACTTTTATTGGTTAGGCTTCTGCTCTGTTGGCTTTACCCATCATAGCTGGATTTAAAATCTGTTCAGCTATTTGCTGGTTAGTCTTAGCCTACTTCTTGATTTGTCAATTTTTTATCGTTTTGTTTTTGTGGGGGAAACAAATGCCTCGATGACTCATTGTACTTCATAGTCTTTTAATTTATATTTTATTGAATTTCTTTGTTTTTACCAACATATTGCAGGAAAAAAACAAAACATTCCAATCGACATGGCCATTCAAACCATTTGCGTCGCAGGGCTAAACGGAGTCATCCAGACAAGTGATGCCTAGTGAATTTCATGCTTTATGAATTCAAGGTATGCCTCTGTACTTCAAGGGAAGCATTTCACTGCACAAATTCAAACATGTACTCCAGCATGCGCAGCTGTTTGTAATAACTGTATAGATTTTGTCTACGCCTGAGATGTTACACTACTGAAATTGCTCCCATTTAAGGATGTTACTTTTGATTGCTGCAGTTGCATGTTTAATATTAAAGGTACATATGCACCAAGTATTTTCAGCATTTACCACCACCTTTATAGCATATCCTCAGTTCCTTATGATCCAATTTCAACAATGTTTGCAGACGGGGTTGTCAATTTGCTTCGCTTGGCTTTGGTAACTGTTTGGTCCTGTATCTTGCTTCGAAGTCTATCCTTGATTGGAAAGCTGCTATGTTTTACAATTTCTTCATTCTGCTGTGCAATAGTTGACTGGTCGACAGAAAAGTTTAATTTTGGAATATATTTTGGTAGCGTAATTAAGGTGGTCTAGAGCGTATATGTATTTTGTATTTGAATAATGATTGTCAGCCTGCCATTTCTTTGTTTTCTCGATGTAGTTTCTATGTTACAGCTTCAACGCTGTTTTAATGGGTTCTGACTCGAAATCTTTTCATATATCCCTTTGCGGTTACAGGAAGAGAAAATTATCATTTGCCTTCTTTGCTTCTGCCATCAGTCTTTGGAGATTGCCTTTCGTGTGTTTGTGGGCCTAGAGCTTTTTTTTTTTTTTTTTTTGTTGGGAGGGGAGGGGGGGGGGGGGGGTTGAGGAGTGTGGTTGAAGTGAAGAAACCGCCGTCTCAAAAATGGAATGTAACACGCTATGCATTTAAAGAAAATAAAATCCCTTAAACATGCATGGCATCTTGTGTTAACTAAATCAAGAATTGAAAATTTGTATAAAATTTGAACTTTAAAAATTCTAGAAGTTAAGTAAAAATTTAGCAAAAGCGTAAAATTTCTTGTCCTAGTGGGTGTAAAACTTGTCACTTGTTGCATTATAGGGAAGGTAATATAGTCCAGATAAATTTTTGATAGCATAAACATTTTGCATGTCATTTGATCCAAAGGTCTGCTCATTCCTCACTTCAACTAATCTTAATAAGCTCGTAGCTATTTAAATCTGCAAAACAATTGGTAATGTAAGGTGAGCAAATAAAATTGCGGGTCAAGGATCCTCGACTATCCTTGTGGATTAGTATGCGTTATATTTAGTATTTTTGGTAATCATTCATTTGTCATAACATACAATATCATATATAAAAATTTACATAATGCGTCATTATTATTTTTCATATGAGTGGCAAATAATCAATTCCCGATAGATGATAAGCTAATATTTCATCCTATATGATACATGAAAACCTTTCATATCCTAGTCACAGAACTAATCCTTGTCAGTTTCTGAGCACTCAATCTAGTATATACGGCTAATCTCACAATGTCCTATAAGTCAAGATTTTGATACTTTGATTGGTCAATATGCGAGGTAAATTATAGTTCTCTGATAAGACGTGAACATAATTGAACTATTTAGAGTATAATTTCAATTCACACAATTAAGCAATTCATGCTTAGCATTTTGAAAATCAATAGTCATTTCATATCCTAATCACAAGAGGAAGCCGTTATTAGTTTGTGACTACTCAACCTAATATATATACTAACTAAGAAGGTAGCCAAGTAGACGCCCAATTTCACAATGCCCTATAAGTCAAGATTTCGATATTCTGATTGATCAATAAAAGAAAAATGGTGAACTATAATTCTCCGATAAGGTATAAACATAATGGAGCCATTTAGGTATAACTTCATATAATTTCAATTCAGACAATTAAGCAATTCATACTTAGCATTTTTTTTTATGAATGCGAGGTTGGGATGCCAGCCCCAATTTATTAAAGATCAAAAACATACAAGGAATTCAGAAATACAAAGAACATCAGACCCTTCTTCGAAAACTATAGGAAACCCTAATCTATCATTTGACATTTCCACAAACCATTTTTGGCAATTCATAAACCTATCAAATAAACTTTCTCATTCGAAGTCAGCACCAAAGTTTGCAAGCCAATTAGCTGGTTTATTTGCCTCCCTATAGCAATGCGATATCACTGGAAAAAGACGCTTAAACTTAAGCAGCTCTTCAAACTCCTTTTGTAACTCCAAGGACATGCAAAAAGACCCTTGAAGCATCTTAACTAGAATGAGCGAACAAGTACTTTGAAAGGGATAAATCGTCTCTGTATAGTTAAAGCATTCAGAAACCTGGATAAAACTTCAGCTACAACAACGAACGAAGCTGGAAAAATAGGCTCCCTATCTCAAACCATGTTTGGACTTAAAAAACCTTGCGGCAAGCGATTAACAATTACCGAGAGCCAGACATTCGAAATCAACCTCCAAATTATATCAATCGAAGTCTCACTAAACCCAAAATGCCAAAGCACCTGCAAGAGAAAGCACCAGGACACTCTATCATACACCTTCATTATATCCAACTTGATTGTCACATTCCCTCCACGGTTTGGTTTCTTGATGTCAGACAACAGCTCTTGAGCTAATAGAAAATTATTTGAAATTTGCCTTCCGTGAACAAAACCACTTTGTTGTGGAGAAATAATCTGAGGAAGAACCTTAGCTAATCTCTCCGATAAAATTTTAGAAAGAACATTGTTGATAAAATTACACAAACTTATCGGCTTATATTGTGTGAAATCTTGCAGGCTTTGAACTTTTGGGAGTAAGACAATTGAGGTAGCCGTAATAATGCTCCTTGGGAACTCCTCACCATAGAAAAAACTAACTACTACCATATGAACATCCTGGGCAATTACATCCCATGCAAAAGTGAAGAACTTCCTTGTAAATCCATCTAGACCCGCAACACTCTCTTATCCATTGAAAAAATTACACTCCTTACTTCTTGGAACGAAGGAATCTCTGTCAACAGCAAATTTTCTTGATCAGTAACTGGCCTAGGGATAACATGTGGAATGTCATTTGATGTAGGACCACTCTCCCCCATGAATAAGTGTTGGAAAAAGGTTAATGCATTAGTGCAATTTTGCGACTTTGCCTTTATCCAATCTCCATTAGATTTCCTAATCCGATGAATGATAGCCTTTCTCCTCCTCTCCGCTACAGCTGAATGAAAGGACTTGGTATTCCTATCACCATCAGACAGCCATTTCATTCTTACTTTCTGCTTCCAAAAACCCTTTTCAACAACCAATGAATGTTGAAGTCTTTCACGGGCTTGTTGCAGCTCAAATAGCAACTGATTCGTCAGATTATTATCATCTTGATCTCCAACACCTCTCACTCTGTATTTCAAATAGCCAAGAAAATATCACCAAAATAATTCTTGGACCATTGCTTAAGAGCCTGCTTAACACTCTGTAACTTATTTGCCAGTATGCGCAAAGGCGAGCCAGAGAATGACTGAGACTAGCTATCGTTAATGACATCCAAAACCCCTCTTTGGAAGTCCATACATTCAAAAAGTGAAATGGTTTCGGCTTGTTATCCAACCTAGTTGATGGAGATAGCAAAAGAGGAGAATGATCCGAAGGATCTCTTCCCAGATGTTGGATGAGGACACTATTAGCCATCCTCGTTGCAATGGAATTAAGAAGTAATCTATCTAAGCGCTTCCAAACTTGAGCCCTGCCCTGCCTGTTGTTGCACCATGTAAATCTTGAGCCAGAAAAACCAGCATCACAAACTTCTACCAATGACATGAAATTCAAGAATTCCAGCCCTTCAGTAGGTCTAAATGGCAAACCACCACGCTTTTCCTCTCCATTCACTATCACGTTGAAATCCCCAACCAGAAACCAGGGCATCGAACTTGGTTTATCTAGTAATAATTCAGTCCATAAGCTCTCTCGCTCCTGAGTTGTGCATTTTGCATGAACAAAGGAAAAACAAACTGATGCAGGAAAGAATTGAGAGTGTATATGTAGTGTGTTAAGTGTTGATCTGATTCTCCCACACTCTGGCACCTAAAAGGAGACTGATTAAAAATCCATACAGTACCCACTAATTCGCTAAACAACAATCCATCCCAAATTTTAATCTAATCAAATCAATACCCACATAGAGCCATCTTTGGTTTGCAAATTGCCACCAAATGAACAGAATATAATTTAATCAACTTTCTAAGCCTTTTTAAATTAGGGGAGCGAGACACCCCTTATATTCCAAAACAGCATATTAATCATCAGACAAGATGGAGAATGAATTTTTTGAAGAAGTAGTCATCGAGCGTAAAGTTTGATATGATGGAAATTTGGTTCAGATACCTCATTGTTTAGCATTAGAAACATCTTGAAAACCTCAGCAGTTTATGCATGGTTAACAGCAACAATCACTAGATCAAGATTTATAGCGCGACTAGTGAAGGTGCTTCAGCTCTATTCTGGTGTATCTTTACTCCGCCCCTAGGAGAAAGATGGCCTACACTTCCCTGCACCTCACGAATATCATCTGCAATTGAGGAGTTTTCCCCACCATTCAAGCTCCTGTCCATTTCGGGCACCACTAGCAGACCGACGCAACCTTATTCGCATCAGGTGTAGCAGGGTTTGTCCTCTCCTCAGTTAACCTTACCATCTTAAAATTCTGTATTTCTAAAATCTCACACACCTCTTCAAAAGTAGATGTAGCAAGATCTTTAGCAACCAGACTCAAAGCAGTAGACGACTGCTTCTGCTGCTGTTCAGGTTCTGATGTCGTAGCGAGGTTTTTCTTTGAATGCCCCTACTCCACTGCATTAACAAAAGCCACAACAGGCATGTCAACAACTAAACACGTGGTTGGCTGATTTCGTCGAAGATCCTCCTCAACTACTGCAACCAATGAAACTTTCTGTGCCCCCGCAGTAGCACCAAAGGAGGTAGTGCCAGCAGTGTCAGGTTTACTAATCTCTTTGGGCCTAAACTCCATCTTCTGAGCATGCTCCACTGCTTTCTTCCCTTCCACCTTGTAGGGCCAGAGTTCAGGATTCAAAACATGGCAGCTCCCCTCTTGATGACCCTGACAAAGCAATGGGAGCAATATTTAGGGAGATTTTCAGGGACTAATTCCTGCCAAAACCTTCATGATTTTCATTCCCAACCCAGACCCTCAAGGGCATGGTTTAAGCAAATCTACTTCAACGCAAACCCTAGCAACAGTCGATCTCGACATAGCCAAGGTTGCATCATCAAGAAATAACAGAACTCCAAAATAGCGACAATCTG